CCCGTCTCCCCTCTCCTCCCCTCCCTTCTAAAGTGCCCGCCGTCAGCCCCAGTGGACCGTTACCAGAGCCTTTCCTCCTTCTTTACCCTCGATATCTGGCTGTCTCGGTAGCGCTCGTGGACTCTCTGCAAACTCAATGCAGCGCTTCATTCCTTATTTAAGTCGCGACAGGTGATAGTCACTCCCATCACGCGGCTAGATGGAGCTCTATGGCGTCCGGATATAACTCAGGATTCTCCGCGACATCAGTCCAGCATCGTGCCCTGGGTGATGGACCTTCATACTCTAGTCTGGAGGATGGCTCCGCGGACGGTAGCTGGGCCGAGCCCGCCACGAGACCCGGGAGAAATGCTCGCTCTGAATCTGGAGGCAGTGCGACCATTGGCGCCCGGGGAGGCTCGTTGACCACCTCGGTCGGAGCCCCTGGAAGCTTTAGCTCTGAATTGAAGAGCATGAAGTCATCGCGGAGCACTACACCCCGTCCGGACGGAGCGCTGAATCGTCGACCGAGCAGCTTTATTGACCAGGATGATATGCCCACTACCGAGGAGCGACAGGCTGTGATTCGAGACAAGATCGCGAAGGAGATGAAAATCAAGACGGGAACCGAGAACATGCTGGAAGCGCTACTCGCGAAGAATCCGAAACATACGAAAGACCAGAGATTAAGAGTTGAGTCGGAGCTGAGCTCATCGAACCGCAAGCTTGCAGAGCTGCATCATGAACTCGAGGAGGAGATGCTACGTGCGCAGGCGCCGTCTACCCCACCTCGAAGTCGCCTGTCAACCCTCTTTCAAAGCAGCTCCATGCGTTCACCTACTCGCAACAACCTAACGATCGAGGAAGCCCAGATTCAAGAGGGCGAGGCGGAAATGGAATCACCCACATATGTCCTTGCAGAAACACTACAGGCCTTGGAAATCGAAGGCATGCCCCCGGATTATTACGTTGAACGTGCAAACAGCCTTGTGGAGCTGTTTAAGCGACACCCGACCTTAAAGTACGACCTCGAGTGGTCTGTGTTTGGTTTGCGCGTGCAAATCATGCTTCTCAGCGACAATAAAGAAGCGGTGGCGGCTGGGTACAGATTGACACGCTACGCTATCGCGGACCGGAAATCCCTCCAGATTATTCGATCGTTCCATACAGATGAGATGGTAATTCTGTCCCTAGTCAAGGAAAGCAAGGCGAGCATTGAGCGGGAGCAAGCTTTGAAGTTCGTCAGGGCCTTCTTGGACGTCAAGGACGGTGTGCGAGAGATTTCGCGCGCCGTAGTCAGGACCATTGTCTCCGTCGCAGAGCACTACGAGGATCGTCTTCGGAACATCTCTATCATGACTCTAGCTGAGATTCTGGTGAAGGATCCCGAATTGATAGCATATTCTGGGGGATTCGCTACCCTTCATGACGCCTTAGCAGAAGGAACGTTTGGTGCCTCAGAAAGTCTCGTAGCGAGTTTCCTCCATGTTCTCGATACCCCCCACAGCAGGAAGCATCTACGAGGAGGTTGTGAGCTAGAGGCTGTTCTTGCACCGTTTACTGACTCTTTGTCGGACTCGGTCCGCAATGGGCGCTTGAAGTCTTCAGCTAGAGCTATTTCGGCAATGCTCAAGACATGGCCGGGCTTGATTATACTCGCAAGAAACGGAGCCAAACCTTTGCAATCGCTACTCGACTCATTACATTACCCGGACCCGCAGGCAAGAGATTTGATCATGGAACTTTTGTTTGACGCATTAAGAATCAAGCCACCATCATGGTCATCATCTTTCCTGGCTGGACGAAGGCTCACAACTTATGGGCGGGTGGCCAACCTCAGAACAGAATCGGACACGAAACATGTTCAAGCATTCTATAACGATGATGGTAATCGATTCGATTTGACGGCGCATTTCTCAACATTGATTCTTGCCACCCTTGTCGAGGCCGGGTTGTCGAAGGTTCTTAAGGTCATTCACTTGAAACTACAACCGATGCTGATACAAATTTAGGCACTTTCGGATCTCATCGAGGACGAGACAGACCTGTCACTCAGGCGCAAAGCCACTCTACTCCTCACCGAGGTATTGAAACTAGCGCATCATTCATTGCCTCAACATATCAGTGCGAAGCTCCAAGTTCTGCCTCACCTCCTGCCAGCTGCCATCAAATTTGATGTCGAAAATCATGACATCTCTACTTCGACAATATATCAAATAGACAGCATCAATAGAACATTGGCTCGCAGCGTTCCAAACGGCGCTGGACGTTACAATGTCGAAGTGGACATTTCCGCTTCTCTCCTCACTGTTGACCAAGGCAAGGAGAAGTTGAGCCCTTCTATGGATGAGACGCAGTTCCGCAACGCCATCCTGGAGACGCATGTTTTGAACACCGTCAACTACCTGAAATGGAAGTGGGACCTGATTCACCGCATTGTCGAGGGGCCTTTGACCAACCCCAAGCGTCTGGAAGAAGCTATCAAAGGCTCGAAGTTCATGAAGCGACTGATCGGATTCTATCGACCTTTCAAGTACAGATTCTCCATGCTACCAAACACGAAGCCAAACCAGCGTTATGTTCGTACAGGGTGTGCACTAATGCGCACACTCGTACAACTTCCGGAAGGCACGAAATACCTGGCCGAGAACAAATTTTTGAGGCAAGTCGCTGAGTGTCTTGCCCAAGTCGATCGCATGAGTGGTCTCACATCGTCTGCTCCCCTGTTCTCCAAAGAACAGATGGCTAGCACGTTGAGCGGAGGGTACTTTGCTATACTGGGAACGTTGAGTAGTGACGCGAACGGGTTGGCTATGATGGAACGATGGCATATGCTGAATATGTTCTACCATATCGTTGAGCTTCGAGATCGGGACGACCTGATTCAGACTCTTCTTGGGAATATGGACTACGCCCAGGAAAGTCACCTCAGGGTCATTCTGTCCAAAGCCCTAACCACTAGTTCCAAGGAAATTCGCATCTTCGCAACTCGACTCCTACGAAAGTACGCTGTTGGAAATGTTTCTCTCCACGCTCTAGCATCTGCTGGTAACAATGCGGACTGGGTGGTCAAGCTTCTCGTTACCCAGCTTTACGATCCCGACGTGTCTGTTTGCCAAGTGGCTGTGAAAATCCTCGAGGAGGCATGTAACCAACGTCACTATCTCGAATATGTGGTGAAGTGCCGGCCATCGCTAGATCATTTAGGTGAAATCGGGGCGCCATTGCTCCTACGATTCTTGTCCACCTCAGTGGGCTACCATTATCTCGATGGGCTGGATTATATTACCCAGGAAATGGATGATTGGTTTTTGGGTCGAAACGATGCTTATGTGGGCCTTGTTGAAGCAGCCCTCTCGCGTGCCTATGTTGACCAGCCACGGAGGAGTAGCTTTGTCCCTGAAGATCTGGTTGATCTTCAAGACATTGGACTAGTGCCGCCCCATTTCTATAGAGAGCTCGCCCGAACCGCTGAAGGATGCAAGCTTCTAGAGCACTCCGGTCATTTCAATGAGTTTGCTTGGACAATTCGCGATTTCCAGCTGGATGAAGAAGACACGGAGGCTCTTCTTAAGGTCAAGGGCTGTTTGTGGGCCGTGGGTAACGTCGGCTCGATGGAACTAGGTGCGCCGTTTCTGGAGTCAGATATCGTTCAGCATATTGTGAAGATTGCAGAAAGTGCGGAGGTCCTCACGATGAGAGGGACGGCTTTCTTTGTTCTGGGGTTGATCTCACGTAGTCGACATGGTCTTAAGGTGTTGAGAGACTTCGGCTGGGATTCCGCTCTCGACCACAAGGGAAACTCGCTGGGCCTCAGTCTTCCCACCGACTTCAACAAGCTCTTCCTGGTAAGGAACCCACTCTAGATGATCTACAGAGGTGCAATGACTGATGAGTGGCAACTATAGGTCGACTTTCCGTCGCACTCTAGGACCCGTGAGGCCAAGCGCACGTCTCAAGAGAGGTTCAAGGAGGCCACTCTCGATCCGGATCCCGCCAACCAGAAGATCTTGAAGCTTATAGTAGATATGGGAAACACGGTTCTATCGAAGAGAGCAGCGAATGATCTCAATAAGTAAGTAACATTGTCCGGACCATCCATCCAGATCCCGGAAGCTTACGCTCCAAACCTTTATAGCATCAAATCGAAGCAACCAGACCGCTTCTACCAGCCTCACCTCTTTCGCAAGTCTCTCAATATTCTCGAGAGCCATCATTTTCGCTTGCCCGCTCGCCGCTTCGCACTTGATCTGTTCGATAAAAGCGTTCTGCGGCGCATCGTTACCGAAGATGATTCAGATACCGACTCAGATACTACCTCATCCCAAGTTTCTGGATGACGAGTCTCCGTGGGCGTGATATGAAATCGCGCCTTCAATAGCACGGTCCAACCTCACCAGGCGGGTCGGAACAGCTATGCGCAATCCTCAGGTCTGCTCTTACCTTCATGTACTCGGCAGCAATTCCATCTCTTCCAATCTCCTCATCGCTTTGGCCTCGGCGTTGGACGGTTCAGTCATGAGCAATGAAAGGATGCCAGCATTTTCATTTTTGCTCTTTTCTACCCTGATTACCCCGGCAGTTACTTTGCTTTTTTCCACCTACATAAGTAGGTGCAGTTCGACCCTCTGCATCGTCAATGACTCAGTCTGTTAGCGATGGGCCTGGGGAGCATTCTTGTCATATCATTGCTCAACTTATGGTTCACGACGAATGTTCTTTCCTTTCTCCGGCATCTGTATGTACTGTATATACATCAAGCACGAGCGTTGATGTCCGTAGATAACTACTTGGTGTTCTCTCGGATGCACAGACCCAAATTCTAATTGAAGACGTAGAATATCGATTTGAAAGTACCACGTTCACTCCCTATAGAGACGAGAATGGCTCCGACAGGACAGAATGGTGAGTTTAGTCGAGCCATTGATTAGAAGTTCGGGTCCCTCGATTAACTGCGGGGGACCTAACCCAAATAACCCAAATAACCCACCCAACTTAATTCCCGCAGCTCTCCGTCCACCTAGAACAAAAACAATCATTCTCTACTTCGAAGCCTCAACCTCTGCCGTCGCTCTTGCTACATTTCCAGCAAACTATTACACCTTTCACACACTAGAAACTTTCGTCGCTTTCGCAAACCATTCATCTTACTGCACTTTCCGATGGAAGATCCCGACGCTGCGTCGGCATCTCTACACGCCACTTCCGGATCGGACGATGATCACTCCCGCGGCATGAGCAGCGCAGCGTCACTTGCGCTGGGACCCGAGCCGTCACCAGCAACCGCGAGCGTGGCCGCCGCATTTCCTGTTCTGCCTCATGCGGTGATCCAAAGCATACAATGCGCACGTTGTTCCAAGATCCTCCGCTCGCCGCTGCGGCTTCCATGCGGAAATTCGATCTGCCGGTCATGTCTCCCGCCGATCTATCAACGTACGGGTATCACGTATCCCGCGAACGAGGAGCGGAAGCATGGATTCTTATGCTACTGGGGGAAAGCAGATGCGTGTTCCGGAGAGCATTGCCTGGGTGATTGTGGAGCGGACGTCTTACTGAGTCGACTGGCCGATGTTTTCGAGGAGGTTCTGGCGGACGACCGCGGAGATGGTTCCAGCGGAAGCGCGTCTACAGTGACGTGGAAAATCTCCCGAGATCCATCACCGGAACTGACCACGGAGTATGAATATATCGGGGCCGATCTGCTGAAGGGCGTCTACCGTCTAGTCAAAGAGGGCCGGTTCGATTATGATGCGTCGGAGGTACACTATTCGGTCGGGGACTCGGCTGCTGACAGCTCAACCCAGCGCTCATATACGAAGCTCAAGAATGCGATCAGGAACGAGTTGGATTGTCAAGTGTGCTACTCGCTTATACTGGATCCGTTGACTACGCCATGTGGTCACACGTTCTGTCGCGACTGCGTCACTATGGTGATGGACCACAGTGATCTCTGCCCTGTTTGTCGCCGGAAGCTCAACTTGTCCTTAACTTCCCGAAGAGAGCCCAGCAATCTGAGGATCTCGACTATCCTGGAGACGCTATTTCCCGAGCAGCTGGCGGTGCGGAAAGATGGCACTTCCGATGATGATGATGATGATGATGATGATGATGATGATGATGATGATGACGCGGCCGCCGCTGACGGTGAACAAACGCTTCCCCTGTTTGTGAACTCGCTGTCTTTCCCTACCATGCCTACCTTCCTGCATATCTTTGAGCCTCGATATCGCATAATGATGCGGAGGGTCATGGAGACGAGGGGCAAGAAATTCGGCATGGTTATGTACAACCGTGGCAGTCGGCCTCAGCCAGGATTGGGACGGGCTGAGTTTATGCAATATGGTACAGTCTTGATGATTGATCGCTATGAGCTTCTGCCAGACGGTAGAAGTCTGGTCATTGCCACTGGTGTCTCCCGATTCAAAGTAAGCAGCTCGGAGGTGGTTGACGGCTATCATGTTGGCAGGGTACAACGTGTGGAAGATATGCCAATCACTGAAGAAGAGCGACTTGAGTCATTGGAAACCTCAGTCACAATGGAAGCGCCGCCGGCGGCAAGTGCTGATCCTGCAGATACCCCTATCGAAGTCCTGCCGACCCAGCAGCTATTCCAATTGGCTCTAGACTTCATTGACGAACAACGTCGTAAGGGAGTCGCGTGGCTTCATCCACGCGTCCTGATGGCCTACGGCGATGCACCCACTGATCCCGCTCTGTTCCCCTGGTGGCTTGCTAGCGTCTATCCTCTGTGGGAAGACGACAAGTATTCATTGTTATCAATGACTAGTGTCAGAGACCGGTTGAAGGTTGTTGCACGATGGGTCAAAAAGTCAAGGTCTCGAGAATGGTAGGTAGAGGCGCTTGCCATCCAAACCTGAATAATGTTCTATGTCACTCACAATGGTCTACTAATCAGGCTGGCCGGTTCTCGCCCATCTTTCTCTTCTGCCTTATGACTAGCCGTCCCTCTGCTCATCTTCTCCCTTGTGCCATTGATTCTAGGTCCTGGTCTATCATTCTTATCGCCATCGACGGCGGTCTTCACGTCGTTCACACCGTTTACCATGTCGGTCTCCATTTCCTTTGGGAATACTCGTGCATCCGAGACTTCTCGACAGGAGCCGGAGCAAAGTCGGGACTCGGAGATGTACATCCCGCAGACCTTGGTATTAGGCATCTTCCTGGCGATATTTGTGACCCAGATTGCCATCAACATCATCCAGATCAGGCGCGCAAGACAACGGGGTGTAGTAGGGGGTGGACGAAATACGAACCTAGGAGCTGTAGGAGCTGAGATACCAGCTGAGTGAGAAGATGAGCCTGGGGAAATTGAAGTTGATCGCTCCCGGCGAGATTGGATGAAGGGCCAATGACAGTAAGCCACTAGTGTGGTTTGAGCGAAGCAAGCGATCGCTGTGATATTCAAGGTTGATGTCTTCGAAGCAGAGAATCATCGAATCACCAGCATGAACACTATGCAAAGGCATGGTCCCCAGCAAACACGAAAGTGGTCTCCGCTATGCACCTGCTACCAGCAAAGGCGGTGGAATCCGAAGCCCGCTGCTTTGACCAGTCCTGAAATGCGATCATCCTAATGCCAGCCATATAGCAGCAGCGGTGCCTGTGTATCTCGTGCTGTGTGGGGAAGCGTGATGCCAGGAGGTATTTTCCATACTACACAATCTATGCGAAGGGTAGTGGATATGAAAATGATACCCAATCCACGGACTTGGTTCCAATATAATTACCTTTTTATCTACGCACCTGCATACATGCATCAATTCTATCCCGACCGAGACACATGAAGCGTAGACTAAAGCAGCAAAGTAACTCAGTTGCACCTTGCGTCGAGGCCGTGCCATCCCGCAATCCATAGATACGAAAAAGAACAATGTTGCCTAAGAGGGGTCTAGCAAGATACCCCGGCCACCTTAAGGAATACTTGACCCAAAGGCATTGTAGTGGTTCTGACCTGTCGAACATGGCGCAGCCACGATTTGCCGCTTGAAAGGGGCATCCGGAGCCGGTGGTCACACAAGCGCTGGCTGTTGATGTCGAGGACAAATGAAGATAAGTTACATCTCTCTCATCATCCTCATAGTCGATAAATTCGTGGTCATGTGCGAGTTGATCGCTTTTCTTGCCTTTAATCCCGAGGTCGTCACTTCCAATGTTGTAGAAAAGCAAGCACTACTATAGAGAATGGGTATTGAACCAATCTAGAGCGATCCCAGGTAGAAGATACTAGTAGTCAATCCGTGGACAGTTTCGAGACATCGAAGAGGTGAATGGAAACCGCGTGGGCTCGAAGAGCTGGTCGTTTGCGCCTGCGCAAACGAGACCACCAACCCATGTGAAGTGGCGCGCTGCGATATCCGATAGACTGCCTTCTCTCCTGCTTGCTTTCCCCTCCTTCACACTATCTCTATTCCCTTTCACTCCTTTCCATAGCTTGTCCAACATTCTCCATTTGCTCTTGAGTGAGTCACTTTTCTGTATCCTTCCTCCCACCCCTACCTTACCGTCATGATCAATACCTGGACCGTTGATCGCTGGTCTTGACTAACGCAGCACGCAACACACCCACTACACAGGCGTCCGTTGTAGCCACGATGTCGGCGTTTGTTTCTCCTGATAATAAAATGAACTCGGAGTCTCCTACTGGAAGGTGCGCCTCTTTTCCGTCAATGGTCCAGAACTAAATGTACATAACTTATGCCTCGCTAGATTTGATGCTGTGTGTACAGGACATCGCTCCATTGGCCGAGTGACTGAACGCTGCCGTATAGATCCAAGCCCTCCGAAACCTCTCGTCCAAATCAAACTCCGTGACCATCTCGGAAATCGAATACAAGCGCCTGGTAAGCATTCCACCAAGCCAGCCTCAGCCTTATGAGAGCATCGCCGACTAACAGGCTGTTGCTGTTGTTCCCAGCTCCAAGCGTCGCAGCAGTTCAGTACGTTGCTTGCTGGTGTCCTGCGGGCTTCGCAATCCTAATCTAACCTCGAATAACCCAGCCAAGTTGAAGAACTCGCTTCTCGAAGGGGGCCTGTCGCAGGAGACTCTCGATGTGAGAAATGTCGGCATGCAGGTCTGCGCTTTCACCTACTAATTTCGTGCAGATCTTGATCTATGGCCCTCCGTCGACTCCTCCAGGTATTGGAGGCCACACGGCAGGTACCGCGTCCCCACAGCGAGGGCATACAAAGCGTGAAATTGTTCCGCGTCGCAGAAGCTCAGATGAGAGCTCCGATCTAGATGCTGCATCTGAAGACGGCCACGATGATGCCACCTCGGTCGACTCGCCCACCAGTGAAGGAAAAGCAGAGGACCACGACGATTCATCCAGGAGCGAGGCATCTGCGGCTACCCCTACTGACCAACGCACTGTGATGATCCGCAACCTGCCCGACCGCGTCACTTACAGAGACGTTGTCGACGCTGTGAAGAGTGGTGGTGCCCTGATTCATGTCTACCTGAGGGCTCGTGAGCGGATTGCAAGTGTTTCGTTTGTGGAAGAGGCTGCGGCCCGCTCCTTTCTGCAGCATAGCAACACTCACGGCCTGTTAGTGGCTGGCAAACGCGTAAGTGCAAGTCTGTTGGTCGGAGACACCCCCCGGCTGAGGCTCATTTATCTTGCTAGGTCGAAACGCTATGGAACGACCGGCAGTTCTACGTCCCTCCCTATGTCAGAAACAAGATCTACAATGGAGCCTCGAGAAACCTAGTTCTCTACAACGTGCATCCGAACGTCACCGAGTGGGTCATCCGGAAAGATCTGGAGCATATCCACAACCTAATCGTAATCTCGGTTAAATTCAACAATGGCAACGCCTACATATCCACCAACTCCGTGCACAATGCCCTGTTTGCGCGATCCTGCATGATGTCCCGTTTCACGTACAAGGGTACGAGAATTGGGTTCTATCCAGACGAGTGTGCGGAATCGCAGGGTAAGGTACCCATCGGGCCGAGACACGGAGTGCCAGATGCTTCGGCTGGGAAATCCACCTCGGTACTCAACCGCTTCCATATCCTGTCCCTTGATGGGGCTGATGACGATGAGAGCGAAGATTACGATGGCCATGGTGGAATGAGCGGTCACCTTAACGGCAACGTCCGCTGGACAGACAACAGCGTTTCTGCTTAAGCCCTTCAAAGCACCCTCTCGACCTTTGCTTGCCTACGTTCGCTGAACTTCTTCCGTATCATGTCATCGGTGGTCTACTGCATCGAACAATCTGTTGCATCTTATTCGATGCAGCTGAATTTGGAGTTTAAGTCAAGAGCATGCGAGTCTGCGGGGGCATTGCATCAATGTCATGTTTGCGCGAATCAGAACCGGGTCAACTGGTGTCCGCTGTGAGGTGGGAAGGATTGCATGGAACTGGAATGGGAGGGACGTTTATGTCAAAACCTCAATCTTATGTCGGGTGCGGGTTGTGGTTTTGTTATAAGATAGCTTAGCATACTATGCTTTCCTATTAAGACAGCATACTGATAGTCAGAATATCCACCAGCTTGGGGTCCCGTGTGGGAGGTGGTCATTAGATAAGTTTGAACAGAAGCTAAAGCTTGATCCACTTTTAGGCTGAGAGACAGATAGACAAAAAAAGAAATCGGGTGATATTTCAGATAATCCTGGCCTATACTAATTCCAGAGCCAGCATTGCACCGTATCAATCCATACAACCACTGTGACAACCCAGACCTTCCTCTATGATCGAATTGTCCAGTGGCGGACATGGGACCACACCGCACCAGATCTCTCTCCACCCCAGAGTACAAACCGTTAAGACGACACCATTCTGCGTATCCTTTTTACCCGTCTACCAGCCCGCGCCCATTCCTGAAGAGATCAGAAAATGGGGAGAGGGGGCAGAAGAAGAAGCAAACAACTCTTTTGAAAAACACTTCTCTCCGAACCAAAGCCCACTTCTTCCTGGATTCGTGACAAGAAAAGAGAAGCAGCCAAGGAAGCGGAAGAAAAAAAGTGAATATAAACAGGCAAAGGAATACCGAGAAGAATTGGAGGAGCCGTTTAACGGTAGGACTTCTGGTAGCGGGAACGAGCACCGCGACCACCGAACTTCTTGGGCTCCGTGCGACGGTTGTCGGCGACGAGGAGTGTGCGGTCGTACTGGACAAGAGCCTGCTTGAGCTGGTTCTTGGAGTGCTCGTCGACGTACTTCTGGTAGTAGGCGACGATGGACTTGGCGATGGCCTGGCGGATGGCGTAGACCTGGGAGGTGTGACCACCACCGGTGACGCGGACGCGGATGTCGACGCCGGCAAACTTGTCGGCACCGACGATCAGGAGGGGCTCGTAGACCTATTTTTTGTTTGGTGTTCGAGTCAGAGATTGGATCTTTCCTTGCGACGTAGTGGGTTGGATCGGAGGGTGTTTGGGTTCATGTAGATTTGGGGCCGGTGGTGGATTATGTATGTACCTTGAAGCGGAGGATCTCAGGCTGGACCAGAGAGAGGGGCTGGCCGTTGACCTTGATGAGACCCTTGCCTTGCTGTTGCCATTGTCAGTCTTTTGATGTTTGGCGGCTTTGCGGTTTGGATGGGTTGGTCGGCTGGGAAACAGATGGTGTCGTTCGTTCGTTGGTGCGTACGGTCTGAATTGTTGAAGTCGATTTCCTCCGCATGTCTTCTCTTCTGATGTTTCCGATGAAGTCGCAATGTTCCCCTCCTCTTTTATGTCGATGCTTTCCGTTTGTTGGCAATCCTCATCCCTTTCCAATTTCGATATCAATTTTTCCTCTGTAAATGCCCTTTTTGTCCAAGACTCATCGATTCGGAACCCGCGAACGAACGACACCGGATGTTGTAGTTGTGTGTTGTAGCCATTTGGGAAGTTCTGGATGTGGTGTTTTGCATACCTTGCAGTGGGCGACAGCGGTGGCTATACAAGTGCAAAGGTCAGTTCCATCTTATCCCAATAATTTGTTGCGCCCTTCCTCCCGGATTCGCGATCCATCCTTTTTTTTTCCCCATGTCCAAATCACCAAATCAACAAAAACTCACCCGTCTTCTTCTTGCCGAAGCATTGCACACTCGGGACGGAAGCCATGATGTCTGAATGGCCCTGTGTTGCTGGGGTGGGTGGGAAGTACGTCGGGTGGGAGAGAGGGTGCTGCGTCGTCGTCGATTGTCGTCCGTCGTTTTCCTGTTCGCGTATTAATTTTCTTCCCAGGGCGGGCTTGTGGCAGGTCGCGGCTGGCACGCACCGTGCGGACGTTTTCGCTTAGTGCGGTGCGCTAGGCCCGCTTTGGGCTAGAGCGGGTAGGGCTCGAGGGGTGGTCACGTGGCTTTGGGGGGGTTGGCGGAGGGGAGGTTTGTCCGGTTGGCCGGGCTGGCCGGCTGGCTGGGACTTGGAGAGACTTGGGGGCCTGCAGAGATAGTGAGTTGCGAGTGTTGACATATTAAGCGTCATTGGTTCTTCGTTTTTATATCGACAGATTCAAGATGTCGCAGACTATTGGAAAGGTTATTCCATCCCCTCCACTCTTCCCTTACTTAATCAATTGCCTTCTTTCTTCTGTCTTGGTTGTCGTTGTTGCTGCTGCTGCCCTCAAACTGACTTTTTGATATTAAAAAAAAACCAGACCCGTCTCGCCTACTCGCGCGCATGGCACCACGTCGACGTGGGCAGTGACGGCCGCACCCTCGGCCGGCTGGCCTCCTCCATCGCCCTCGTCCTCATGGGCAAGAACAAGCCCATCTACGACCCCTCCACCGACTGCGGCGACTACGTCGTCGCCGTCGGCTGCCACGACCTCCGCACCACCGGCAAGAAGCGCCAGCAGAAGAAGTACTACACCCACACCACCCGGCCCGGTAGCCTCAAGAGCATGACCATGGACATGATGTTCGAGAAATGGGGCGGCGGCGAGGTCCTGCGCCGCGCCGTCCGCGGCATGCTGCCCAAGAACCGGCTGCGGGATAAGCGGTTGGCGCGGTTGAAGAGTGAGTTTTCCTTATACCAGGAGAATGGGCACAGGAAGGCCATCTTACTGATCATTTCCTTGTGTACAACAGCTTTCGAAGGTCTCAAGCACCCCTACGAGCAGAATATCATCAAGATCGGTGGGACGGGTGTTCAGGCTCAGGAGTCGGTCATCGGAAAGCTTCCCGAGGTGCAGCAGGCGTTCCAGGCGGCTAAGGTGGAGGCGTCGGCATGAGAAGAGTCGAGACTATCTGTCACGTTGCCAGGTGATTGAGATGGATCGATCATCGTGCTAGTGCATAAGTGCCTTGGCTGTTTCCTCCCCCTTCTTCGCGGATACCAAAAACCGACTTGTGTATTCTGTTTTCCTGTACTTTTATATCCCGTACCATATCTTGTTTCCCTTGTTGTCACGAATACTTGCTAGCGCATGGGTGGGAGTTCTCAATGTTTCATTTCCTCTCTTTTTCGGTCCGAATCTATACATTCATCTGATTTGATGTGTCTTGGAGGCGCCGGGCTTGAGGTCTTTTTTTACTCTCTGCTGTTGATCTACAACACCTATCTACTCGAACATGCGTCGTTGATTTTGCACCCGTACCAGTTTACTGGAAGGCTTGTGCTGTATCATAACCGATCAATCCAGTGAAATGCTATACCTCTATCCCAACGAAGGAACTATATACAAGAAAAGGTGGAAGGGGGTGTCTTTGAGCCGGAAACAACTCCCAAGTAACCGCTGGAAAACGACAATAGCAAGGAAAAAAAGTCCAACAAAGAACTACACTACAACTTGGCCTTGGACTTGCGACCAACCGTGCACTTGATGAGACCATTGGGTCCACTCTGGGGCGCATACACCTCGGCATCCTTGCCGGTGTTCTTCAGACCCTTGTGCCAGCTCAGATCTATTCATCCAATTGTCAGCCCACCACCTCTTTTCCTCCAGGGGGGGAATGAAACATACCAATCTCAAAGTAATGCTTGTTGGGCAGCGCATACTCCACCGTCTCGAGCAGGGGCTGCCGCTCGAGGATCTGCTCGGCCATCTTGTACATGGTGTTCTGGACGCTGGCCGAGTTATCCTCGGCGAAGGTCTTGAGGGTGATCTCGCGGGCGGCGGCCCAGGTGGCATCGAAGCGGGGGACGGCGGCGCGGACGGCCTCGATCCCGGCGAATCGCTGCCACTGCCAGGTGGCGTCGACGTCGGTGCTGAGGATGCGGTCCCAGGTCTCCGGCAGGGTGGTGTACTCGTCGCGCACGAAGCCCCAGAATTGCGAGTTGGTGCTCTTGAGCACGGTCAGCTTGGCCAGCGAGGAGCGGATGTCGATGCCGATGCTTTGGGCCTTCTCGACCACGTCCACCTGCACGTTGCGCGTCTCCTCGCCGTCGCGCAGGAAGCTGTGCGGGTGCGGCTTGCCGTCGATGGTCATGCGCGTCCACCGGTGCGTGACGATGGAGGTGTGCGCCGCGTGGATGTGCGGGTACTTGGTCACGAAGTGGTTGCCCAAAATCGAGCCGAAGAGCTCCGGCGGCGTCACGGGGTTCTGCTTCGCCAGGATGTAGATCGTGTTCTTGATGGAGTCCGTGGCGACGACGACGCTGTTGTCGGCTTTGGTGTAACTGTGTCATAGATAGGAGATGTTAGCCGGTTCCGTCGGTGCAGGGGAGCGGAGGGGAGCGGAGGGGAGCGGAGGGGGACACAAGCAGAAAAAAAAAGGAAAAAACATACGAGGTGTCAATCTCTCCCTCCAGGAGAACACAGACGGTCATCTCGACGACGGTCTGGACGCCCGTCTTCTCGTCCCGGTGGACCTTGTATACTCGGACATTGTCCTTGCCGTAGCGGGCCGCAGTGATGGGGGAAGACATGATGGTGGGGGATGGGGATGGGGATGGGGATGGGGATAGGGATGGTTGTCGTTGGAGGGGAACAACAACAACAACAAGGAGGTAGAGGAAAATGTCCGATTGAAAGAGCAAATGTGCAGGGTATGCAGGTACACAGAAAACGATCGTACAACCGGGGAACAGAAGCGTCTTTAAGTTGGCGCAGCCTTCGCTCGCCCTTGGGGTGAAGGGGAAGATGGGGGGGGAGGATCGCTCGTTATCGGCCACCTCCGAAACCCGCGCCAGTTCGACGGACTCCGCACTTTTTGGTTCCTTATCTTATCGGGATTTGATCCTGCTTTGCTGTACGGAGCTGGAGCTGGAGCTGGCCTCCCCTGTCAATGTCAATAATAGTACCAGTAACTAAACTGAATAAAACTTATTATGCTCCTGGTCAGGCCATATCCCTCCCAACATGCATGCGTATGCTTTTTCATTCGAAGCGGAGGACGGAGATCCCCAACAGAACACTGGTCGTCCGGGATCAGATCACGGTTTCTGGTTGAATTGACTGCTTACTCTCGCGTTCTATTGTTCTTCGGCATGCACATCCGGCTGTTGCCTTCGTCTGACTGACTAGACGTCAGATCCATCCTTGAACATTGCATTATTGACTTTGCCATGTCTATGTTTATGTGCGTAAGGTTTTGCTCATTTTCCTGCGACGACGGCGGAGTGGCCGGTTATGGTTCTCGTATGGTTCTCGTCGTCATTACTGAGTGCGTGGGAGAAAGAGAATCCGCCCGCAAACCGAAAACGATTTTCCTACCAGAATGTAAACTAGCCACAGCTTAGCCACCGCTTCAAGCAATGGTTGCAAAGCTTCTCTCTCCGCTTCGCCAAACCACAAAATCCACTCAAGTCTAGCTAGCGATTTACTTCGTAGTATCATTGAGTAAACTAGAATGTGGACAATGAGCCGTCGTCCGCCCCGAATGTTGCGATGGCGGTCGTCGACGGGTTTCATCATCGCGACGGTCTGGACATCATTCTTCACGGTGGGTACCCTTATGGTTTTTGGAGTAATGGGCGCAATAGCTGATATGATGATAGGACTACTTTCTCTATGCGATGGTAAGTCACCAGTGAAAAGGGGCATGCTCTGCCATCGACTCTAACCAGCTCTGCGCAAGATCGTGCCTGTCATGCCTACTGCCCTCGTCGACCGCGCCGGTGTCGCATATGAAGACCGTAAGTCGAACACTGCCGATTCAATGCTCTGGTCGGCTATCTGTATCCCGAGCTAATTCGCGGTAACCCTCATCCAGGAGAATTCTGGGTGAGCATCCTGCTGATGTGCCAAGCTGCCGTCGCCTTTGTCTGCTGTCCAGCCTTCGGATACATGCTCGATGCGGCACCCACGCGCCGGATGCCCTACCTCCTGGGCCTGATTTTCCTGGGGGCATCGATGGTCCTCCTCGCTCTCGCGCACACGATCGCGATGTTCATCGTGGCCCGCATGCTGCAGGGCGCGGCCACCGCCATGGTCGCCGTGGCCGGGCTCGCCCTGCTCACGGACTCGGTCTCCACGAGCAATCTCGGCCAGACCATCGGGTACCTGGGCTCGGCCATCGCCCTGGGATTCCTGCTGGGTCCGCTACTGGGCGGCTTGGTGTATCGAGTCGCCGGGTACCAGGCTGTGTTCGCCATCGCCTTTGCCATGGTGGGGATCGATCTGCTCATGCGAGTCGCGGTGGTCGAGAAAGCCGTCGCCGAACGGTGGCTGCAGACGCATTCAGTATCGTGCTCGCCATCCCCAGAGGATAATGGGTATACGTCAAGCGACAGTCTGGTGCAGCAGCAGCAGCAGCAGCAGCGACCAGCCGCGTCGCCAACCAGACAGCGCTCTCCATCCTCATCCGTGATGTCCAACAACGACCAACATAAGCAACCAGCGATACTGATAATCCTCAGCCAACCGCGGATCCTTATCTCCTCAGGAGCACTTCTCGTCCACGGCCTCCTCTACTCAGCCTTTGACGCCGTAAGCTTCCCCGATCCCCTCTAACCAGACCACAACCCACATCCCACATTTTGCTTACCTCTCCATTCATGGAAAACAGACAATCCCCATCTTCGTCGAATCCCACTTCGGCTGGACCACCTTCGGGGCAGGCATGGCCTTCCTCCCCTCCGCCATCACCGCCCTCTTCCAACCCTACTTCGGTACGTTCTTATCCTCGGGCCCCCGATGCCCTTACTTCCCCCCCAGTCCAAACCCCAACCCCTAAACTAAACCCCAACCCCTTCCCTTCCCCCTTTACCCTCTTTCCTTCCAACCCACTAACCCCTAGCGAAGGCCATCTAACAGACACCCACGGCCCCCGCCTAATAGCGCTCAGCTCCTTCACCAGCCTCACCCTCCCGCTCCTCACCCTCCGCCTCGTCACGACCGCCCACCCCGCGCACATCGCCCTCCTCCTGACCTGCCTGACGGCCATCGGGCTCCTCATCAACCTGTGCACGCCAGCGCTGTACCTCAAAACGCAGCACGCGCTGGCCGCGCTGGAAGCGCGGGACCCCACGGTCTTCAGCCCCACGGGCGCCGTCGCGCAGGCGTTCGGCATCCAGACGATGGCGCAGTTTTTGGGCCTGTTGGTGGGACCCCTGTGGGGCGGGTTCGTGGAGTGGCGGGCTGGGTGGGCGGCGATGACGGGGAGTTTGGCGGGGTTGGTGGCGGGGATGGCGGTGTTGATGTTCTGGATGGGGGAGGAGGGTGGGGGTGGTGGTGGTGATGGTGGTGATGGTGGTGATGGGCTTTCTTTGCTTGGGAGGGTGGGTGTTTGGGGGAGGTTTAGAAAGTGGATAGGATATTGCGGGGTGCGGAGGGTGGGGAGGACGGGGGTGGATGAGCGGACGGCGTTGTTGGGAGGGGAGGACTCATAATTAGCTAGCTACTAGGTAAGTACAAGTATGTGCAGGTGTACTATACCTATTGCCTGGTTTGCCATAGGTCAGGACTCGGAGCATATACTCTAAAATGTTCATCCTTCTAATTGCGAACCTTGGATGGGAAAGATCCTCTTGTAAAACACTTGACTTGAAGCACGTATTTGTCGACACTCTACTCAGCTCTACCTACCCCTGCCAGGTCCAAACCTCCCATTCTTGAATAGGCTCGGCCACTCTCTCAGACTTGATTCCTACCAATCTGCCTTCCTCTATCGAAGCAGCCTGACTCAACACGGACCGCCATGATCTGGCCCATTGCCTCGCTTCATTGCAAAATCTTATGTGGACACGCAGGCAATGCGAGGGACACCACGGCAAGCCGCACTAGTGAGAGAGAGGAGTCGTTCATGTACAGATATCTGATTTCCACCCCAATATCTGTCTCAAACACGAGCAGAGACAAACTCGCATGTAAGGTCAGGGTTGTAATACCAGTCCCATTTGTCGTTTGCGCTAGGTCCAATTCACTCCCGATCGGGAACGACACCCGACACCTAAAATAAAGCAAGTTCTTTTTTAAGCCCAAACGCCAAACAGCAACGCCAGTCCCATAAGCCCCTCTCCGTTCCTGGATAAGCTCCTGACGCCGGAGGTATATAAAAGTAAGAAGATTCACAAAGCCGGAATATAGTTCGCATCAAGCGAGTCCCGGTGGCCCAAAAGGCCAGTCACCGAAAAGAAAGCAGAGACAAGAGGAGCTTGTGAGTGGGAGGATCCCAAATCGGGCCGGCCTCGATAGTGATCAGAGACTTAGCTGATCGATACTCCCCACCCGGCCGCTTCCTCCAAGGCGACCCCCTCCCTTGGTGACCATGCCTAATCGATAGAACCTCTCTTCGCCGCCGGGCGTCCGGCCGCCGATGTACCATTTCTCGGGACCGAGGGCGTCGCGGAACCCGCCCGAGCCGCTGGAGCTGTCACTGCCGCGCCGTTGACGGCCATGACTATTGGTGATGGGGATAGGGTTCGAGGCGGCAGGAGTCGGTGGGGGAGACGATGCGCCGGCGGCGGCTTGGGGTGGAGTCGTGGCTGATGACGGGGGCGGGGATGCGGGGCTGGACTGCTCCTGGCCTTGGCCCTGGGCCAGGGGGCCGCGGTGGTGGGAGTGCGGGCGAGAGTGTGAAGATGAGGAGGTCGAGTGATGATGATAATGGTGTGCTGTGGAGGATGATGCCGAGGACGCTTCCGAGTTGTTGCTGGCTTTCGTGGCGATTGCTCGAGCAGCACTCTGGGAGATCTGGGCAGAGGATATCGAGGCTGATGTGGATTGAGTGCCGGCGGTGGAGGCTTTGTATGTAGACTGTGCCCGGAAGGCCGCAAGGAAATTGGCCAGGAATGGTCTGTTCGTGGACATTGTGATGGCTGAGAGGGAGGCGATGGATGATATATGAAGGGTGGTTGAGGTTGGGATTGACAAGTCGGTAGAGGAAGGCTAAGCGGTGGACTCGAACCACCGGTCACGTATCGGATGTCCCAGGAGTGGAAGGAGATGGGTAGGAGAATAGGTACTAATACTGATCCGAGTGCTGCGAAGCGGGATTGGTTTTGTCGCGTATATCTATAGATCTCGTGTGAGGGGAAGTGGTGGATGTAGCGGAGAGGTCGGTGGAGTTCGGAGTTGTGGGTAGCCGCGGAGTTGCGGAGGAGTCGAGATCTAGAGTGGGGTCTAATGGTACTGATAGAGAGACAAGGCGTAATCAGGCGGTCAAATGTCCGACATCGACACGAGAAGGAAGATGAGATGGCATGTAAGAATCCTTGTTAAAAGGGTTGGGTCAAAAATGATGCAAGGGAGAAAGGAAAAGGATGATGGGCGGACGGGATGGGTGATGGGAGGAGGTTTTTGGGGGGGGGAGGAAAGGGCAAGAGGTCGCAGTCCTCCGGAGCATCCCGTGGGTGATGGCCAATCACGGCGGGGAAATACCAATCCACGATCCGGGGCAGGCGGTGACGTCGACATTCAACTTAGTACAAGACATGCTGTGTGGAAATCTTACAGTATCCGAGGTTTACTTGAGATTATGGGGAATCGTTAACCAAGTTTATATTGTACAAGTGCAGTAGTAGTAAAGCTACCTAACTATTATTAGGTATCCAGTGGTAACTATACATCATGGATACTTAGTGTCCTGAAGATCCTTCCCCACTCTATCTCTCCACACTTTCGTTCTCTATTCCCATCTCCATCTCCATCTATCAAGGGTTCGGGGGGGTAAGTAGGTAATAGGAAAATCCCGGGATGTTCCCCTCCTCCGGACCAAAGGGACTATTACCTTATAAGTACGAATGGTAGGGGGTAACCAACGGCTCTTCGGCTTCGGTCGGGCCACCAAATGAATCAATCACCTGTCTGTCACTCCCTCACACCACTCCAGGCCACATGGCATGGCTACCTATTCTTCCTGCCTTCTTCCACTTGTCTACCTCGGAGATATTCCCCGTAGCATCCGACAACTACCGTGAACAAATTGCATACGCCAACGAATGAGCTGAGAATGAGCATGGGCAAAATTATTATTCCTTCTGTGAAATAATTCTAGCACTTTTTATGATGACAATTCCTTCCGGAGCAAGGAACTGGAAATGCAGAACACCGTAAGATAGAAACACTCGTCGCAACACCATGCAGGGGTTGGCCAGGAATATGCATCCAGGCAATTCAACCGAACCAGGCCTCAGGAAGCGCCAACACAGCTAGCTGGCCTTCCTTCGGCAGCAGTCGGATTCCATAGGCAACCCCGGCCACACCCAGATGACAATGTAAGTCACAGAGAATGGGGGAAAGAGAGAGAAAACAAACAGGCCATACGCAACAGACCTGACAAACACACGAGGATAGAAAAGCATTCAAAGATGACTTTGTATGAGCGACGTGTATGGAAACACCTTGGCAGCCCCAGTCCGAACGTGCATACCCTATCAAGGGACACATCGGCTCTACATACAGGGTGGACTGGGGGAGCTGACATGAAAGATTGAAAAACGGCCGTGATGATTATGCAGACATAGGCCAAGCACACTCTTTTTCTTGATGCAACTGGAAAGAAAATCCGCGACAATGGACCATGCAAATCAGGGTGATGCATCGACAGAAGCCTTCCACTCAAACTCTTTTGATCTCGTTCCACATGAACGATGACAAAGTGAAAGTAGAGAAGAAAAAAAGCACATTCGCATAGAAACACATGCCCAAGTCTATGATTGGACGCCAGATAAAACCACACCATCCCATCAAAATCACTCATAATGGATGGAAAAAGGAAAACAGTAAAACAAGAAAATAAAACAAATCCTGAACCACCGCAAAGCTGCACTCGCCGTAGAAATGCTGACACTGTGTATTTCATCGCAGGAAGTTTCAATCACAATACCTGCAGAAAGAAAATGTTTTCATGACAATAAGAGATTTGGACGCTGAACAATCCGACCACGCCGATGCGCACTGCGCGAATTTCTTGGGCCTGGCCGATACCCACTTTTTTCTATCGTCATTGCTTCTTTTTTTTTGTCTAACTTTTGTTTCACCAATCGAGTAATTCTTCTTTTTTTTTTCTATCATTCCTCTCGTTCGGAAGTCAAAGCGGCTTTCAAATTGATCCATAGAAGACATAATCCGAACATCTAAGGTGATTCGGAGTATTGGAGTGAAATCGAGGATCAGAGACGTCAAGTAGGTCCGGAAAAGAGTCGTATATGCACAAGCGTCCCCAATTTAAGATCCGGTACCACTGCACATGTCCTGAGATCTTGAATGCGTAACGTCGTATGACACGTGATCCCACCGATGGGAGGTAGTGTGATATTTTGATTCGAGTTTGATTTAATGAAAAAAAACTCCTTTTCGCGCCAATTGCATTTTGGGTTTAGCGTGGTCAAGATACAGACATCCGCTCTCATTTACTCGCGACTATTGGCGGGCGGGCTGAACGGTGCCTAGATGACAGGTGAGTTAGCATCGAACTCAATTCTAACAGGTATCCTTTCAACTTACCGTCGCCGCTCATAGTTGACGCCAGATAAAGTCCGTTCATGCCACTTTCTTGGGGACCAGGGGCGGTGGTGGTGGGGTAGAACTTGCGTTCAGCGTCAACGTGAGCGTGGATCGGCTCCTGGCCGGCGGCCATGGTCTGCTGAGGGAAGACCTGGTTGATGTAACCGTCGGAACCTCCGGGCTGAAACATCGAAGTCCAGTCAATTTCGCCAGCATGATTGGGAGTGGGGCCAGGCATGACAGGGCGCTTAGGATCTTGAATAATCGGGGGCTTTACCTGCTCAAGGGGAGGACGGTCAACGTTCAGTTGTTGGCCAGAGGCATCAGCGCCGGGCTGAACCATGTACGGGCTCTGCTTAGGAGCAGCAAGCCAGGGACCTCTCTGTTGAGGCTGACCGGCAGGATAAGCGTCCTCGGGAGGACCGCGGTTCATCCCATTCACAGACGACATGGAGAAACCCAAAGGCTGCTGTTCCGTGTAACCTGGACGGGCGGGAGCCATGCCATTGCCGTTCACAGGACCCTCAGCATACGTCGCACCGGGGAGACCATTGGGAGGCGGGATGGGATTGTTGACCTCCTCCTGAACAGGCTTGACAGCATTGGCCGCAGCTTGGGATCTCTTCAGATGCGCCTGGGGATGCGACAAGTGAGTCGCTCCCGTGGGGTTACCACGTCTCAACGAGCACTTCTGGAAGTGGCGCTTCAAGATATCACTGCGGGAGAAAGTGTCCTTGCAAAGAACACACATGTAAGGACGATCGCCCGTGTCTGTAACACACGTATGCCCGTTAGCGCGATACAACTTGCAATGCAACTCTCACCGGCTGTGGTTAACTTACGTCTGAGCAAATGACGCTTCAAGTGCTTAGCATGAAGATATGTCTTATTGCAGTGCGGGCATGGGAATTTTCCATCTGCATCCTTGGCGGGAATTGTGGTGTTCTTGGCAGTTCCAGTGACGCCGTTGGTGACCGGAGTCGCGCGTCCCGGAACGCTCGGAAGGATACCACGACGGCCCTGCGAGCCAACAACCTGGGTACGAGGAGGCTCCTTCGCAGCATAAGGCGCAGCGCCATTCGGGCCTGCCACGGGATCCTGGTTCATCCAAGGCGAGCCCTTAGCATCCGAGTAGCTGAAAGCACCCGACGGAAGTGCGGAGTAGTCGGAGCGACGGTCACGCGGCGGGGCCGGCGCAATCGGCTGAGGATAGGACTGAGCACTCGACGCGGGGGGGAGCACGCTGTGCGGAGGAGGATAAGGTTGCGACGGCTGAGGCTGGGCCTGCGGATTGTGGTGGGAGAGGAACGAGGACGGAGGCAAGCTACCCACGGTCGTGTGAGGCATGATAGGAGCCGCGGAGGTCGCGTAGACATCGTGAGTTGACGCGGGATATCTCGAGAGATCCGGCCGGTAAGGCTGACCCATGTAGGAATGAGGGGCAGGAGACTGGGAGTGATGAGGCTGGAGCGGGGGAAGAGTATGCGGCTGGGACACCGGGTACTGGTGCTGCATGGCGTACTGAGGCATTGGCATGCTTGAGATAGGTGTCGAGGAAAGAGGCGTGGAGCCCTGGGGCAGGCTGGTGGATGGGGGCCGTGACGGATGAGATCTGGGATCCATCGTTGAGGCGGGGAGGGTGTCAAACAGGAGGGGTGAGGGTGAAAGTGAAGGGAATGGGGTTTAGGACTCGCAAACAAGGATTTCACTGTATCTTGATCATTGATCGCAGAACGGAAACTAGAACCTTTCTGCAATTGTGTTGCGATCAAAAGGCGAAGCTTCGAGGATGCGAAAAGCTTTTGCCAATGTCACTGACTTCAAAATCCTGATCGCGTCCTGGTCGACGAGAGGATTCTTTTTCGCTCTGTGAAAGTTTTCGGTCCCTCCTTTGACTCTCCTCTCACTTTTCTCTGTGTGTTTTCTTTCCGGAGACGGAATTGGATGCTTGTTCCGGACAGACGCGAAAATGAATCAACAGGTGTTGTTCGGGGTGGTGAGTTCGGATGGCAATGGACTCAAGGGCAGTCCAAAGGTCGATGATAGAGATGTGCAGGAACAAGTCCGACTCCACTGCAGAAAAGAGGTCAGGATGAGGTCGAGATGCTTAATCTGAATTCCCCACGGTCACCCACCAGAAAATCGAGTTGTGTGGGAACTTCTTTTTATCCGCACGTTGTCAAAACAGTCAATGGTTCTGATCCACCAGGGAGGCGGCGTGTAAGTGGGTCTAACAGAACCAGCAGCAGTGCTAGAGGGAAATTTTGCTAGTCAAATTCTGCTTCGCGTCAACAATGCGCAGGATTGACCAGTACTTTTTTCGCTTTTCAATTCGGATGGGGTGAGGAGAATAAAGAAACTGCCAGGGACAACGCGTATAGATGCGGAGACCAGGGAGTAGGAAGAAAGATGGAAAAGTAAGGGGGGGGGGGGGGGGAGGAGATGGCACAGATGGAAAAAAAAAAAAGAAGAATGATGGATGGGTTTGTAAGGAAACAGAGAAGAGAAAAAAATGTTAAAAAAAAATATGAGATAAAAAAAGATGAAATAGGAAGGGGGGAAAAAAAGAGAGAGAAAAAAAAAAGAGTTGTCTCAAAAGAACGCACCCAAGGTAGAGAGCCTTTCTAGCAGTAGTACTAACTAGTAGTCACGGGAATGGAGGGGGAAAGGGTGGGAAGGGGGGCGATGAATAGCGGCGGCGGCAGTAAGAGAGGTTAAGAGGGATTGAAACCTCGCAAAATCACAAATCACGGAATATTATCAGTTTCCGACAGCAAAACTAGTGGTACACTCTTTAGAAGAGAAAGGGGGACGATACTCTTAGACGAGTGCGAAACTAATTGAAGGTTAACTGTGGATTGGCGGTGACGATCCTAACTCTGGGAGGCAAAATGCGCACCGGAAAAAAGTTGTGTACTGCTTGAGGAAATTTTAATAATTTGGTGGCATTAACTTACCATACTTTTTGCTACTAACACTGGTGCCGTTGACCTGATTCGTGCCTCACCCGGTCTCCGAGAATCGAACAAGAGCCGAACGGGGTCAATCTACTTCTAGTATCCTGTTAAGTGTTAACTTAGTACGGAGTACGTACTGGACTCATACTATCTACGGAGTAGTGTCTGGTGATTCAACTGTACAGTACTGTACATTTGATCGGGAAATCAAATCCTCTGTCTTTTCCCAGTAACTTCCAATTCATTCACGGTTGACTTTGCTTGTATCTCTGGCTCTGTGCCAAATGAACGGCAATTTCGGCACCCAACCCTTTCCGAAAGGTCGCCCCGGAAGAGCAGGGAAACGAAGAGATCCTCTTGGGAGGAAATCTAACATCGAATTTGGTTGGCACCAGCGGCAAGCAGGGGAAAAAAAAGAGGGCTGAAGACGCTATCCCGACGGCCGATGCTCGTTGGTTGGCTCATCGAATTCGATTAGGGAATCAAAACTCGAGATTCGACTCGTTGGTGGGAGAGAGAAAGGGCACGTCGGGCGTGTACCGAAACGAGGTACCTCGATGGTATCCTTGCCGCAGACAGCTACGTAAAAAGATACTTGGCAGTAACTTCGTCGTTACCGGCCTTGCAGCCTGCCAATCGTAACCCACCAGGGATCAGGCAAAGACGCAAGCAGGTAGGCAGACTGAGAGATACCGTCATGATCTTGTTCTAGCCTTCCAGACCCGAGCCCGTCAAGCCTACGTAGTGAGTCCAGTGACTCGTTCTGATTCTTGATGATGAGAACTTAACTGCAGGCGTTTCTTCGAGTTGAGGAGTTCTAATTTGGGCGTCCATTGGTCGAACTCAGTTTTGTCCGTGAGCAATTGTGAGACTGGTTTCGTTTTCTCTTGGTATATCCTTTGTCTTGATATTATAGTACAATAGTCAGACATATTCTGACTTATCAAAAGAATATCAGGTGCTGGGACACAATAATGGATGAGGGACATACGCCGTGGTAAGTAACCTAAGTGGAAGTTAATGGAGGGGCGGAATGGTGGGAGGCTTCCTATGCAGCCGTAGATCGGGCTCCCGGGGGGCGACGGATCCTACTAACCTCAACTAGGACTGGTAGGCCCAGTGGGTGATCAAAAACTCAGGCAGCAGCCCGGTTGAAGCATACCAGACGAGTGGGAGAAAGAACCCTTCATCTCTCCTTCCCTCCAAGCAGGCTACTCGGTTATGTGTAGGTAAAGTACTGTACGCCGGTTTCAGGAGCACTACCTAGTAAAACCCTTCGATTTCCTTTTCCGATCACGGTCCAGTATCTCGGCTTCTCTTACCTGTGTACTACTGCAATGCATGCACTCTGAAACCATGGCTAATTCGAATGCGTTCCTTGTTGACCTCCTATATCCTGGGATATACTAGTCGACAAACACGTACCAAAATATGCTTGATGTCATGAGGCAGGCGGACATCTGCATCCTTTCTCCGCAGTTGACAGGCCCGCCGCCGGCTCCATACTGGTTCCTCAGCGCTCAGTCCCTCATGGCACATCCACAATTCCACATGAGCTAGAGACTAGAGTAAGGTAGGGCGACACGAAACCTTATCAAAGTTATCATATTTGCGAGAAAGTGGAGTGGCATCCTGTTCGAACCTGAGCTCCTGGCTTCATGGGCGGGAGGAACAATGGTAGAGGCTGCCCACTTCGACTCCACGGCTGTCAAATTGTCAAATCTCGATCCAGGAAGTATAAACTCCATACCTGAGTAGATGAGCGGACGATGGAGACCTCCTTCCCTCCCGCATGGGGCTTTCCCGACCTCCATCTGCATGTTGGATCCCATGTTGGACCCATGTCAATCAAAAGCTGTAGGCACTGTGCGATGAATACTGAGTACTATGTATTTAGATCGAGCTATCTGGCCACTACAACAGTCATCACCTTTTCGATCCTCAACTTCATACACACCACACTCCCAAAATGACGGTATGGGCCGCCAACTCTGCCGCTCATATGCGGGCTTCAACGCGCCTCTGCCACTCGGTCCTCCTTCGTCATCATACCACATCCCCGGCCGTGAGGTGCCGGGGAGGAAAAGGTGGCATGGATTTCTGCGGTATCATAGGGAAGCTCAACGGCGAGCATGCATTACAGTACTTTCTAGCCGGCTGTGTATTGATCTACACGGAAGAAAGCACTTTTGCCCTCGGTCCGTGCTACACGTATTGCTGGTCAATTTGCAAATTGCGTAAGCCGCGGCAGGAAATGAACAAATGAAACTCTTCCAGTGCCTGTCCCGAATGTCTATTCATTTAATTGTCAAAAATCAGGAGTTCTTCTCACGGAGCAATTCTCACCCCCCCTGTCTGCTTGAGAAGCACTGAAAAGACGATCTGAGCGAGAACTGATTCAGCTGCGACAAAATTCAGCCACCCATCGAAGCAACGTCAAATAGATATACATCACCTGCATCGCGCATGGACCTTCTAGACTGATCCGTCACTAAGACTGTCCTTCGGTCGAGATTGCTTCGGACTTCAACTAATTGCCAATTCGATGATGCCACGCACCTTGTTTCATCCCCGATGCCAGTCTAGCTCATATCATATGCCCGTATTCTAACTACTACTGTACGGAGTACATTTTCCAAGTCCCAGGACCGAACCGAATACCACCCGCGCCTGAACAATTCCATGGGTGCGGATGTGAACCGTATCCTTACCCCTTTCGGTTCAGTAAGTATGATGAATCAGAAAACATTGTCTCAGTCCATCATATTTCCTGCAGTCGAAAGATTGTTGTTCGGATTGGAAGCCAACAGTTCAGGATTCCAGCTCTCCTTTATTCAACACAACATAGTTCGAGAGACCCTTTTTTTACGTTTTGTTGCCCTTCCCTTTGCCCATCATCTGCATAGTGCATGCCCCCCTCCCCCCAAGTGACCGCCCATTTTCGAATCATCACCGTCATTTTAGTACTATCCAAGATGGGTCTCCCGTTTAGGCTTCGTTCGTATCGGCGGCTATTCTCCACCAGGAGATTTTCGCTGGGAGCTTCTCCCGCTTCGATTGTGGACCTTCCTTGACCAACCCTACCTAAGCCTTAGGCAAAGTCCAAAGTGGGATTCGAATCCGTTTTGGGGACAGTTGATGCTCTGTATCACAACAGCAGTAGCATATCCGAACCTCCGACTATCTGATCTGACCATTGCATCGATCCCATTCGGTCGACATCCGGCATTGGAATTCTCCCAACTCAAGAGAAGACCTCTCGCTCACGTAGCATTCATTACACGGTACGGAAATACATGAAACAAGTTACAAGATTAAGAAAAGAAAAGAAAAAAAAGCTCATCAAGCGAATAGTCATCCATTTCGGAACACCGCGGATGAAGAATCCCGGGGGTCGGCGGAAAAGGTAGGGTGGTTGAGTCAGTAGTACGTACAGTACCTTTTTTCGACCATCACTTTTTTTGTTAAGTTTATTTCGCTCTTCTCAAATCTCTTGCTTCAATCTCGTGGCGGCTACGGAGCGCGCTGGGTGGTCGAAGAGTACTAGTGAGAAGGATTTGGGTTCGCCGTCTTCCCGGAAGCAGAGCGCAGAGTAATGGTACGTACCACTCAATTTTTTTTGCAGGAACCCAGCAATAATTTTTCTTCTGCTGCGGTCAAGCCCGCACTAGACCACAAGAAGATAAGAGAACATCAGACTACTGTTTGTGGTCGACTTTACGGAGTACCATAGAGAGAACCCAAAATTCCCTCACAAAAGACGACTGCAATCACCGAGAAGACGATGAATTGGTTGAGTAATAGCTTCATAATCTTGTTTGGGGAAAATAAAAAGTTGCAAATGTGAGATTTCATAACGAGCTTAGCAACATTTCCCAACGATGTGTGTGTGGTAAGTTTTCAAGACTTAGTAGTACGTAGTACGGAGTACCTCAAGTGTCTATCAGGGAAAGAACAAAATACGTAGGTGTCAGACACAACCCAAGCTGTTTGTACTGTGCCTACTCCGTACTCCGTAGCAGTCCATTCTGCAACAATCCATCCTCGCTCAACTTGCCGCTTACGCCTTCCTCCCCGCCGCATCGGCGCGGACAGGGCTTTTTTTCCTCTTCCTTCCTGCCCTTTCCTTTGTTTTCTTTTCCTTCCAAGGAAATAAGCACAGCAAAGAGACAAAACACAAATGATGACCAGTTTATCATCATCGTCATCATCGTTGTCTTTCGGCCTTTGCTTTTTTTCCCATTGGACTGCCAACCCATTCGAGCAAGACTGGCATGATGTATCATGGTCCCAGTGGAAGTGCTCCCGGGCTCAAGGGCAAAAAAAAACCCCCCCTGCACGTCGCCCAATGTGGCGATCCGATCACGGCGGCATGGCCAACCCGTTTTTGGTGCTCCACAAAAACCCAAGCGGAAGCCGGTGGGATGGGCTCCGCTCATGGAAACTTCCACGAACAAATTTCGACGACCAAGCCAGGCGGTGTGGGAGGATCCCCTCTAAACCTACGGTATCTGGTCCGAATACTCCAGGCTCCGTATTCCCCAGCCCTAGACTACCCGTAGTAAGTGTGTCGGTGACTGAGGCAAGCAGAAAAAAGCATCATGCAAGCCGATAGGTAGATTTCGAGGTATGTATGTGTCCTTTTTTTTTGTGTGTTTTCTGAAACAAAAAAATGGTACTGTGTGGTAGGCAGGGTGGAATTTCGGCATCCTCTGTCTACTACTACTTGGTGAGGAGGGGAACCCGGGACTGACTCGCCTAAAGGTGCTTGCTCAATGGTTGGTGAAAGAAATTGTCCGATGGGATCGTCGTCTGCTTGCTTTTTCATCATCACAAAGCTTGGCTTTCGCTTGTGAGACTGCTGAGTGATGATGTCTGTCTCAGTCTCGCTGGTCGTGGCTGCGATAGATGTGCATCTAGGCACTGAGTGCTACTTCTGGTACAGCCTACGTCCCAGACCTACCTTACCAAAAGGCCAGGCTAGCGCTGCTTTCTGTACGGTGTATCAGCTCGACAAGAAGGACAGTTGCCAGTGTGATTCATCTACGTGGCAGGAACAGAACAGAACAATAAACAACGCAGCAGTGTGGCTGGGGTAAGGTAAGTAGATCCAAGACATAACAGCGCCAGTAACCATCACCACTATGGTCCCTATCAAAAATGGCTCAAATAGGTAATCATGATGATATGCTACTGATACGCTCAGGTTCTAGTCAGCACTCTAGTCCGGAGTATGGACCCCCAACATGCAAAGGTAGGAAGTGGGAGTGTGCGAAGACTACCGGTAGGGCGACATCACCGACAGGTACAGACTACAGTACTCCGGTACAGTACTCCGTACTCCATACCGTACCGCTTGCAGATCGTTCGTTCTGCGCTTCTCTCCCCGGCCTCTCTCATTCGCCCGAGTCGGGGATGGTCCGCAAGATCGTAGACAAGGAAGTGCTGTGAGTCGGGGCCTCCTGGAAGGATTGACCGGGAACTTCCCTCGGCACTTTTACCCTGGGCAGGGTGATTTTTCCGAAGCTGACCGGAGTAATGCCGAAAGACCACGCTATCCTTCTGGATTGGGTCTTCACCTTCGCACCTTCTTAAGTATCGGCTCGGTTTCGGAAGTGGTGCTGGGGTCGAAGCACCAATCAGATTCCGAAACATTGGCGAGGCGAGAACGCCACACACCTCATCTAACCTTCTTAGTCCGACCGAGGATGACCAGGCTTTCTTTCCCCAGTGGCCTGAGCCTTGGAGTATACTGGTGGTTGTTGTGTTGTTGTTGATGATGATGATGATAATGATGATGATGACGATGTTGCTGTTGTGTGTTGAGCAGTGTCTCCCTTGTCCGTAGTAGTAGGATTGGCGCTGAGCAATCTAGGATTCGCTCAAATCTCCCTAGATCCTTCGTCAGGATACAGGATCCATCCTCACAGAGTTCCAGTTCATAGCCACCGAATCGACAACTTGATGGAAGACTGGTGTGCACTCCGTACTGGAATTAGATTTAGCCAGGGTCTGTTTGTTTCTTCTGTTTCGGGGAGGAGGGAACCTGGGCGGGGATGGGTGCAGGTGTGGCTTTAGACTCTTCCCCTACTGAGCCTAGTCAGAAGCTAAGTTAAAAGATGCACCACAAGAAAAGACCTACGCTAAACAACCAAAACCCGCGGTTTAGTCTAGTTACCATCCTCCTGGTCACGCTTGGGGAAAGTAAAAATCCTACTGCCTAAGGTTGATTGTTAGTGAGGGTTGCTGCAGCGCTGCGCACTAGGGTGCTTAGTGTCAAACTTGGCACCCGGAGAGATCCTTCCTTCCTGCCCCTCCAGATAACTCTGGCTTGTATGTACTGCGTACATTATGTACGAGGTATCATTTCCGATGCCATGACTGGCCGGAGTTCTATGGCGGAGATGTATGCAGTGATGTATGAGTGTGCATCTTGAACGTTGAACAATCAGGTCATGCTTTTGACTAAGAACTAAGCCTGTGTCTCTGGTCTTTTGGTATCTATCGACTACTGCTGCTAGTAGTCCATGCATCCGACGGAAGGGAAAAGGAACCACGAGTACTCCGCGGGCGTAGCTGAGGATGACTTTCGATCGAACGATATCTTTTTCTTTCATTTGGAGTATAGTCTCGCCAGACGAGACGAATCCAAGGGAATCAAGTCCAATCGGCCCATGGTCGCGTCGATCCGCCGCCATATGAATTACAATCTTTCCATCCCGATGCGCACTTCAGGGCCAATTGTGAAGCACATATCGGACGACGATGGGAACCGGGAGAAGGCCGCGTCATGAGTTCCTCTCGTCTATGAATCTTTCAACTCGTACACTTCCTAAATTCCCTACGGAATAGTAGCCCATCATCACCAAACAAGAAACAAGGTTCAAGCAAGCGGCACGCGAGGAGAGCGATCCTCCT